AAGAAACAGTGGTGACTCCTAGGAAGCTAGAAGAAAAAATAAGTAAAAGAATTAAGGGAAAAAAAAACTGAGCACAGACATCAGTAGCGGCAAACTACAGGAGAGATTCAGCAAACTAATTCCTGGCAAATTACTAAAAACAAAACAAAACAAAACTTTCAGGGAAAATAAATCAGAATCCAAAGTTGCTAGAATGTGTTATTTTTTTAAATTTATTTTTCAATTAGAGTTGACATACAATATTATATTAATTTCAGGTGTACAACATAATGGTTAGACATTTATATACCTTACGAAGTGATCTCCCCATTAAATCTATTACCCATCTGACACCTTATGTAGTTATTACATATTATTGACTATATTCCCTGTGCTGTACTTTGCACCCCCATGACTATCTTTATAGCTGGCAATTTGTACATCTTAAGCCCTTCACCTTTTTCAGCCTGCCTCCCCAACCCCACTTCCATCTGGCAACTAACAGTTTGTTTTCTGTATGTATGAGTTTTTTTCAGCTTTGTTTATTTATTTTGTTTTTTAGATTTCACATATAAGTGAAATCATATGATATTTGTCTTCCTCTGTCAGATTATCTCACTTAGCATAATACTCTCCAGGTCCCTCTATGTCGTTGCAAATGGTAAGATTCCATTTTTTATGGCTGAGTAATATTCCATTATATATATGTACCACCTCTTCTTTATCCCATCATCTACTGATGGGCACAAAAGGTTGTTTACATATCTTGGCTATTGTAAATAAAGCTGCAATGAACATAGGGGTGCATATTATCTTTTCAAAGTAGTGTTTTGTATTTCTTCAGATAAATACACAGAAGTGAAATTGCTGGGTCATATGCAGTCTGACAATTAAGTTTGCAAACTCACCCTAGAGAAAGTGCTATGTACCTCATTGCTGAATATTACTATGGTCACCTTCGAAGTACTCCCCTTGGGAAGCTATGCACTGATGCCAACACCTAGTCCACCCTTCAAAGCAATTTTGGAACTCTTTTTCTGGAATGGCCATCAGAGCTGTCATCGGATTACCTTTGATGTCCTCAGTGTCATAAAATATCTTCCTTTCAATATTTCCTTTATCTTCAAGTAAAGAAAGAAGTCATTGAGGGCCAGATCAGGTGAGTAGGGAGGGTGTTCCAATACAGTTATTTGTTTATTTGTTTACTGGCCAAAAACTCCCTCACAGACAGTGTGAGCTGATGCATTGTCGTGATGCAAGACCCATGAATTGTTGGCAAAAAGTTCAGGTCGTTTTAGTCTAACTTTTTCACGCAGCCTTTTCAGCACTTCCAAATAGTAAACTTAGTTAACTGTTTTGTCCAGTTGGTAAAAACTCATAATGAATAATTCCTCTAATATCAAAAAAGGTTAGCAACATTGTTGCAACAAGTTTGCAAACTTAATTGTCAGACCCTGTATATGAAGCATATGGTAACCACAAACCAAAAGCCTATGAGATATACATGAAATAAAAAGAAAGGAATCCATAACACTATGGAAAACCATCAGCATACGAGAGAGCAAGAGAATGAAAAAGGAAAAAAGAAGTACAAAAACAATCAGAAAACCATTAATCAAATGGCAATAACTACATATCTATCAATAATCACTTTAAATGTAAATGGATTACATGTTCCAATAAAAAAGATAGGGTGATGGAGATGACATCACAGAAATGACTGCATGAGCGGTGCTTCTTGAAATCTCCTCCAGAAGTTACAACAAGTTGAACAGCTATAATTCAACAAAGAACTCCTGGCTCATCACATAGGAAATGCCTGAGAGACCCGCAAATCGAATCACCTGAAGGTGGGCAAATCGGGCGAGTGGGGGAGGAGCAAAGGGGAGGAGCAAAAGTCCCCAGGATGCAGATTGGAGCTTGCTGCAGTCTCAGGAGAGGGAAGAATCCCAGCTTCAGGAGCACTCCCTGTGGCCTACAGTCCTGCCTGAGGGATCAGCATATAAGATGGCTGAACCCAGTGTTCAGGGCAGAGACCTTGGGTGAGGACTGTGGTTTAAGTCCTCACTGCCAGGCAGAAAACAGAAAACAAAGACTCGGAACCTGGCTGCCTCCCTCCCACCCTCCCACAGCTCACCCCACCCTTGTCTGCTCAGTGATAAAAGCAGACTCCAGGAGAAATGATCTGGGGTGGTCAGAGCCACAAAAGTACCAGACACCTCTCACAGCAAACACCCCCAACCCCCAACCCCCACCACCACCTTTCTGGGAGGTTACCTGCAGGGCAGCCAGAGCCACTGACACACACAGACTCAGCATCAGGCTGCAGGGGCAGTACTGGGGTTTCAGAAGCTCAGAGCTCTTTCACCCTTCACATCCTCCTACAGAAGCATTGCCCTGAGACCCAGGCGACCTGTTCACAGAGGCGAAGCCCACCTTCCGGTGACTGGCCGTGGTATTCTCAGCGAGTTTTTGCAGGCCAGTGAAGAAACTGCACTGACTTTGTAGAAGTCACCAACTACAACCCATAGCACCCAAGAAACCTGCCCTGCCCACCTAGAGCTGCATTGCCAGGGGCACTCTGAATGCCTGGTGGCTGGCCCCACCTCCACAAGCTGTGAAGGAGGTTTTTTACAGCAGCAGACAACTCACTGGGGGAGTTTGCTAGAGGGCATTAAGCCAATACTTGCACTGCAGAATAGATGGGTGGTGGCTGGACTTAAGCATTTTTTTCTCTGTTTTTCCTTTCTTTTTTCTTATCTTTTCTTTTTTTCTTTTTCTTCTTTTCTGTTTTTTGGTTATTTTTGTTTGTTTTAGTTTTTTTTTGGTATTTTTTTAGTTTTCTCTTTGTGTGTGTGTGTGTTTTGTTGTTTTTGTACTTTTGTTTGTTTTAATTGTTGGTTCTTTGTGTGTGTGTGTGTGTGTGTGTGTGTGTGTGTGTGTGTGTGTGTTGTTCAGGGTAGTTGTAGGCTCAGCACCAGTCCAGGAGCTGAGACTACACTGAATTTGTAGAAACTACTGACCAAACCCTTTACCCCCTGTAACCCCACCCTACCCACCTACAGCTGCATTGCCAGGGGTACTCTGGGTGCTGGGTGACTGGCTCAACCCCCACAAACCATGGAGGAGGTTTTTTACAGCAATGAACAATCTGCAATGGCCTGGGGAGATATTAGTGGTGAACAGTGACCCCCACCCCCCAAACTGCACTGTAATCACTCGGGGACAGCTCTCGGGAACTTGTGGGCCTGAGATGGAGGCTCGCTATAGTGTCCTTGGGGCACTGAACAAGATGGTTACAGGCTACATACAGGCGTAAGATCTGAATCTTCATTAACATTGTAAAAACCACCAACCATGTGTTGTGACTCACTTGAACTCCATCCTGTCCAGCTAGTGTTGCATCACTGAGGGCACTTTCAACACCAGGTAAACCAGCCAGACACATGCTCTTAAGGAGCCTCTTTCAACAGTTGGGCCTTACGTGCAGCTGATAGGTGACAACAGGCTTAGGGGGCCTTGGGCCTTTTGCTAAGTTGTCTCAAGCGCATTATTGGTGGCTGCCAGACTCAGTTCACAGACAGGCCACCCCCACATGCCTCCAGATCCAGCATGGGCAGCAGCCAACTACATACAGCATTGGGGCACCTACTAAGTAGCCACGGGCCACTAACAGGCAGGGCTGAAATTACCCAGCATGAGAGCCCCACCCAAGAGACACCAGAAACAAAACACCCAGAGGCCAGCTTCAGACCACACCAGGGCACTACCTGGTTAGCCCCACAATGGGCACACACAAAGGGAATTCTCAACAGGCACAGGAGCCTGCAGGGGCGAAGACTCCTCTGAGGGATCAGCACTCACATAGCAGCTCATACACTGTGGGCATCGCCAATCCTCATAGCTAGTCAGCCTGGGAGTCAATGCCACCCTCCGACAAGCTAAAAGCAATCAAGGCCAACTACAACAAGGGAACACACACAATACAAGGGACACTCCTGGAACACATGCACAGGAGATTAGGGAGACTGCACAATTCGACTATTAAGGACACATACTACATAAAGTCACCCAGCAAAGACTAAGAGACATAAGACTGAGAGACATAGGTGATCTACCTAATACATAGAAGCAAACATAGAGTGACAGCCAGAATGAGGAAACAAAGAAACATGTCCCAAATAAAAGAACAGAAGAAACCTCCAGAATTGGAACTAAATGAAATGGGGGCAACCAACCTGTCAGAGACAGAGTTTAAAATACTGATTATAAGAATAGTTAAGGAACCTAGTGAGAATTTCAACAAAGAGACAGCAAGCATAAAGAAGGATATAGGAACTATGAAAAATAACCAGTCAGAAATAAAGAGTACAATAACTGAAATGAAGAATACACTAGAAAGATTCACCAGCAGGGACCGGCCAAGTGGCGCGTTGGTTAAGAGCTGGCTTGGAATGCCAGAAGGGCCCAGTTCAGATCCCACATATGAAGGCCAGTGACACTGCCCTCTACAGCTAAGATGCTGAACAACAGCTCAACCTGGAGCTGGGCTGCCGTGAGTTGTTGGCGACGGTGATGGCATAGGCTGCAGCCCCTGATGCAGTGGGTTGCCATAGGCTACCGTGTGCAGCTAGCAGCCAGCATGAGTGGCCAGCAGCCACTGGCGACTGATCTGCCTCACCTGGGAAGAGCGCAATGATGGTGCCAACTTGGGCCAGTGAAGCAACGTCCTCCACAACTAGACTGAACAACAAAAGGACAGCAACTTCTCTATTCCCCTTCCCCAATTCCCCAGCACTGTTCCCATCCCCCAGTTCCCCAATTAAAAAAAAAAAGAAAAAGAAAGATTCACCAGCAGATCAGATGAAGCAGACGATTGAATCAGCGATTTAGAAGACAAGGTAACAGAATTCACCCAGTTGGAACAATAACAGCAACGAAAAGAATAAAAAAACAATGAAAATAGAGTTCTGAGCTTCTTCCAGACGTTCATCTCCTTTTGGGTCTCATTCTCGGACTTTCCTCACAGGATGGCCCCCAAACGCCAGTCTTCACTCTCACCTCAAACAAAGAAACCAAGACTGCCTCCTGCCCCCAAGCTGGAGAAGACGTCGACCTCTCTGGATGTGCCAAAGAGAGAAAAAGAACAGCAAGAAGCAATTGAACATATTGATGAAGTACAAAATGAAATAGACAGACTTAATGAACAAGCCAGTGAGGAGATTTTGAAAGTAGAACAGAAGTATAACAAACTCCGCCAGCCATTTTTTTCAGAAGAGGTCAGAATTGATTGCCAAAATACCAAATTTTTGGGTAACAACATTTGTCAACCATCCACAAGTGTCTGCACTGCTTGGGGAAGAAGATGAAGAAGTGCTGCATTATTTGACAAGAGTTGATGTGACAGAATTTGAAGATATTAAATCAGGTTACAGAATAGATTTTTATTTTGATGAAAATCCTTACTTCGAAAATAAAGTTCTCTCCAAAGAATTTCATCTGAATGAGAGTGGTGATCCATCTTCAAATTCCACTGAAATCAAATGGAAATCTGGAAAGGATTTGATGAAACGTTCAAGTCAAACACAGAATAAAGCCAGCAGGAAGAGACAGCATGAGGAACTGGAGAGCTTCTTTACCTGGTTTACTGACCATTCTGATGCAGGTGCAGATGAGTTAGGAGAAGTCATCAAAGATGATATTTGGCCAAATCCACTACAGTACTACCTGGTTCCTGACATGGATGATGAAGAAGGGGAAGGAGAAGAAGATGATGATGAAGAAGATGATGAAGAAGAAGAAGAGTTGGAAGATATTGATGAAGAAGGGGATGAGGATGAAGGTGAAGATGATGATGAGGAGGAAGGAGAGGAAGATGAAGGAGAAGATGACTAATAGAACATTGATGGATTCCAACCTTTTTTAATTTTCTCCAGTCCCTGGGAGCAAGTTGCAATCTTTTTTTTTTTTCCTCTTGTGCTCGGTCGCCCTGTTTTTGAGGTCTCTTTTCTCTCCTTTACACCATGGTTCTCACCTTACTTGGGGGGAAATAACTTCAGCAGAATACAGTGGGAAAAGAATCTCTGCCCCTTTCTGTTCCAAATTCATTTTTATCCCTTCCTATCTCAACAAAAACTTTATGGAATCAACACCACCATGCTCTGTGGAGAAAAAAGAAAAACCTTCTGCTCCCTTAGCTCTGCTGGAAGCTGGAGGGTGCTAGGCCCCTGTGTAGTAGTGCATAGAATTCTAGCTTTTTTCCTCCTTTCTCTGTATATTGGGCTCAGAGATTACACTGTGTCTCTATGTGAATATGGACAGTTAGCATTTACCAACATGTATCTGTCTACTTTCTCTTGTTTAAAAAAAGAAAAAAAAACAAAAAAATATGGGGTTATAGAAGGTCAGCAAAGGGTGGGTTTGAGATGTCTGGGTGGGTTAAGTGGGCATTTTGACAACATGAATTCTCCTTTGGCATGTTTAATTGTGATATTTCACAGACATCTTTGCAGTTTAAGATGACACTTTTAAAATAAAATTTTCTCCTAATGATGACTTGAGCCCTGCCACTCGATGGGAGAATCAGCAGAAGCTGTAGGATCTTACTCAGAATTGACATCCTCTATTGTAATTTTGTTCCTCTTTATTTTAAAATTTTCTTTTTGTTTCACTGGAGGGCCAGCTGAGTGGCTCAGTTGGTTAAGAGCTCGCTCAAAGGTTTGAGCTCTGAGCAACAGCAGTTCGAGTCCAGCCTGAGCTGAGCTGCCACTGAGCTGCCAACAGGTGGCAGGATGGCTCAGCTAAAAAAAAATAGTACTGTTTCACTGGAAAGGAAAGATGATGCTCAGTTTTAAATGTTAAAAGTGTACAAGTTGCTTTGTTACAATAAAATTAAATGTGTACAAAAAACAAACAAACAAAACCAATGAAAATAGTTTAAGAGACCTGTTGGGACAACATCAAGTGCAACAACATTCACACCAGAAGGAGAAGAGAGGGAGCAAGGGATTGAGAACCTATTTGAAATAATGACCAAAAACTTCCTTAACCTGGTGAAAGAAAATGACACACAAGCCCAGGAAGTGCAGAATCTGAAACAAGATGAACCCAAACAAGCCCACACCAAGACACATCATAGTTAAACTGGCAAAGGTGAAAGACAAAGAGAGAATCCTAAAAGCAGCAAGAGATACACTACTACTTACTTACAAGGGAGCTCCCATAAGATTATCAGATGACTTTTCTACAGAAGCTCTGCAGTCCAGAAGGGAATGGCAGGAAATATTCAAAGTGATGAAAAACTAAGGCCTACAACCAAGATTGTTCTATCTAGCAAGGCTATCACTTAAAATTGAAGGAGAGATAAAGAGCTTCCCAGAAAAGAATAAGCTAAAGGAATTTATTACCACCAAGCCAGAATTGCAGGAAATGTTAAAAGGCTTCTTGAAGCACAAGGAAGGTAAAAAAGAATTAACTAATAGAGACCTGAAATATGAATAATAAAATGGCAATAACTATATAACTATCAATAATCACTTTAAATGAAAATGGATTACATGCTCCAATCAAAAGACATAGGGTAGCTGAGTGGATAAGAAAACAAGACTCACGCATATGCTATTTACAAGAGACCCACCTCAGATCAAAAGACACACATAGACTGAGAGTAAAGGAATGAAATAAGATATTGCATGCAAATGGAAATGAGAAAAAACCTGGAGTAGCAATACTTATATCAGATAAGATAGACTTTAAAACAAAGACAATAATAAAAGACAAAGAAAGCCATTACATAATAACAAAGGGATCAATCCAACAAGAGGACATAACCCTAGTAAACATCTATGCACCCAACATAGGAGCACCTAAATATATAAAACAGATATCAACCGACATAAAGACAAAAATCAACAGTAACACAAACATAGTAGGGGAATTCAACACTCCACCTACACCAATGGACAGATCCTCTAGACAGAAAATCAATACAGAAACAGTGGCCTTCAATGACATATTAGACCAGTTGGATTTAATTGATATTTTTAGAGCATTTCACCCCAATGCAACAGAATATACATTCTTTTCAAGTGCACATGGACCATTTTCCAAGATAGACCACATGCTAGGCCACAAAGCAATTCTCAATAAATTTTAGAAGATTGAAATCATGTCAGGCATCTTCTCTGACCACAGTGCTATGAAACTAGAAATCAATTACAAGAAGAAAACTAGAAAATATAGAAAGACATGGAGACTGAAAAACATACTAGTAATAATGAATGGGTCAACAATGAGATCAAGAAAGAAATAAAAAAATACCTTGAAACAAATGAAAATGAAAATACAATGACCCAAAATCTATGGGATGTAGCAAAAGCAGTCCTAAGGGAGAAATTCATAGCAATGCAGGTCAACTTAAAGAAACAAGAAAATCTCAAATCAATAGTCTATTTTTACACCTAAGAAAACTGGAAAAAGAACAGTAAAATAAGCCCAAAGTGAGTGCAAGGAAGGAAATAATAAAGATCACAGTGGAAATAAACAAAATAGAGCCAAAAAAACAAAAACAAAAAAAACAAACAAGCAAAAAAACCCAAAAGATCAATGAATCCAAGTTGGTTTTTTGAAACGATAAACAAAATTGACAAATCTTTTTTTTTTTTTTAAGATTTTTATTGGGGAATAGTGGGGAGGGGAACAGACAAGTTGCTGTTGTTTTGTTCTTTAGTCTAGTTGTAGAGGATGTTGCTTCACTGGCCCAAGTTGGCACCATCATTGCGCTCCTCCCGAGCGAGGCAGATCAGTTGCCGGCTTCTTGACAGCTGCTCAGGGCAGCTGCTGGCCGCTCACGGTAGCCCATGGCAACCCACTGCAGTGCAGTCTCTGGGTGACTCACGGCAGCCCAGCTCCAAGTTGAGCTGTTGTTCAGCATCTTAGCTGTAGAGGGCAGTGTCACTAGCCCTCATGTGTGGGATCCAAACCGGGGCCCTCTGGCGTCCCAAGCCAGCTCTTAACAAATGCACCACTCAGCCGG